TTTACCCCTGTCGAATTTTCCGGCGAGAGAATGGTATACCGGCCAAAAGGTGGGTGAAACTTTGCTGAACGAGGCGAGTTTGGACTTCCATTCTTTGTTTCTGAGCTGTGATATCTGTCGGCGAATACCTCTGTTCAGATCCTCAATAATATAGCCAACAGCATTAATGCCAATGCACTGAGTCAGCTTCCTGATACGGCGCCTACGCCTAATTAGCGCGACCAGGTAATCATCATTACAAAGGTACCCATGCCTCGATGTGGAAGTATTAATCTTAGTAGTAGATCTTCTAAGTGCCACGAAAAGCAAATTATTTAGTCGTTCAATGCACGAATCGACTTCATTGTCGCAGGTGAATTTAGAAGTTATTTGAAAATCATTTGTAAATTTTTCAAAACTACCCCAGTCGATCTTACGGTCGATACCGACGTTGAATTTGTCTTTAACGGCAACAAGCACGACCGGCGAGTGGTCGGACGGCCCAGGATCAAGGACCGAGCAATCGAAGGCAAGGTCAACTGTGGACAGGAAGATGTCCAATGTGGAAGGCCGATAGCCAGTAATTCTCCTAGTAAAATCGTCTGGATGTAAGATGTCAAAAGTATTGTTGGAAAAATATTTATAAATGACGTTGCCTCTAGGATTTGCCATGAAATTGTTCCAAACTCTATGTTTGGCGTTAAAATCACCGCCGATCAGATAGGGATACCCCTGCCCGCAAATAACGTCCATCACGTGATGGTCGAGAACAACCTGGCTCGGAGGAATGTAGACAACACCGAGATACAGCCTCGGAGCCGCAAGCCTCACAAAGAGGAGGTCGAGTCCAGACACTGGAGTGCACACGACGTTGTCGTAGACAACGTCCCTGTGCAAAAGCATGGCGACTCCGCCGCCCCTGCCGCCAGCGCGGTCATGCCGCACCAGTACAAAGTCCGGAATACCGGCAACGTCACTTGGAGAAAGCCAGGTTCCAGTCAATAAAATGATGTCCGGCTGTGCTTTTGCTACAAGAAGCAGGAGTTCGTTTCGGTTTCTCTTGAAGGAACGAATGTTCCATAGAATGATCTTTGGAAAAACCGGAGAAGCCATTTAATCCAGTTGGTTCATGGTCTGAATGAAAACGCGAAATTTGTCTGCATTGGTGCGGCACAACCGCAGCTGAGCGTTTAAGTTGCGGACTAAGTTGAGCATAAGGTCAACGTCTACGAGAGAATGTAGAGTACGAATCTCATCAAAGAGAGCAAATGCACTGTCCACCACGGCCTCACGGGGAGGAACTTGAAAACCCTTGGTAGCTTCGGCGAACGACCGACCTCCGAAAGCCGGAGGCTGGGCATTAGTTATGTTTTTAACCAGTTTGAAATTATCAATTAACGGGGGCCTAGCGGGTCCGCTCCTGTCTACAGGGCATAACGGCGGCAAAGGAGGGCCAAAACGATCCAAATCATCGACCCTGAAAGCTGGAGCCTTCTCCTTGACCACCCTACCTCTATCTCTAGAGGCAAGGTAGTCAAGGAGGGCCGGACACGCGGAATAATTCGCGGTGTGGTTATCCCCGCAATTAGCACAGGTCGGCGCCTCCTCTAAAGGTTTCTTACACTCGGACGTGTGATGGCTTTTCCCACACTTGACACAGCGAGGCTGGACATTGCAATTAGTCGCGGCATGACCGAATCGTTGACAACGAAAGCATTGAGTGTAATTCCTTTGGGAAAGGAATTTATCCCAGTAAACCCGGATTCTGAAGAGGTGGCCAATTTTATTAACCTATACTAAGCGTAGACCCAGGTGGGAAATTGACTCTGTACACGGCTTTATTGGCGTTTTTTCCGATGACAGTACAAGACGTGGGATCAAGCCCATGCGACTTAATTGCTTTAATTATCTCCTCGGCAGGAGTGGCCGGGAGACCGCGGAGGACAGTGCTCAAAATACGATCCGAGCTTTTACTATATGTGAAAAATTGAAGGTTTCTTTCCCTGAGGAAACCAATGAAAATATCGTATGCATTCATGTTATTGAACGTGACTCTAATTCCGGTTCTCAGTAATTTAATCTGAAATGTGTCACCACACAGCTCAAGCATTTCCTTCTCGAACTCGTGAGCCGAGCATGAAAATCTCGTGACATATACTGGCGGGATTTTAGTAGAAATCCTGCCGGTCCGCACCTCGTCCCGTGCGCCGCCGGCGCCGTCGGGAATCGGAGCATCATTTTTCACTTTATTCGAGGAAGACGCGACGCGTTTAATTGGTGAAATATCTACGACAGTCTTATTCGTGTCGACTTGATCAGAATCTTTGTTCAAAATGTTTGCTAAAACCGAGAAGCGGTTCGAGGTTTTGATCGCGGTAGCGGCGTCCATTTTGACTATGGAAGTAATACGCGGAACGGCACGTGGCACGCGGGCCACGTCGCGGTCCGCCATCTTGGAATCGCGTAGATTCGCGTTCTCGAGAACCGTATTATTATTAACCGAATTTACACTATCGTTTAAATGAGGATCGATACGCTCGGATCGGCTGGAAACATCCGTTTCGGGGATGCAGTAATTACTCGCGTCACTGAAACCGGCTTGCCTTTCGGCCGAGACGTTGATTAATCGCGGCACTTTTGTAAGCACATCAGAACTGCCCGAGTTGCTTCGGCTACGAATGATCTCCGATTCCACGGACGCCGGCGTACGCACCGGCGAGGCCGGGGCAAGGTTAAGTTGCGGCTCCGAACCCGCGATAAATGAGATAATGCTTGTATTTGATCTAACACTCACCGCTCCGTCTTCCGATCCGCAGCGGGAAATCGGCGGCGCCGGGCTGACCCTCCTCGTCCCCTGGGACAGTGCCGAATCACTCAGATAACCCTTTTCAGGTGAAGCGATCAATTTCGAGAATTGAACCTCGCTTACAAGATGCCCCGATTTTCTTTCGGGACTAATGGAAAGAGTACTGCTTCCTTGAACAGCTTTAGACACTGAAACTGCGAGCTCAGGAAGCCTGGCACGCCTCGTGGCCATAGGCCGCTTTCGACAGCGGCCTTCCCTGATAAGTTTCTCGTAGAAACTTTCTTTCGACCCACTCACTGTATTTAAATAAAAATCACATTTGTGTTTAAAAAGAAATTAAATTGAAATTGAGATATTAAATCGTATTAAGATACGTGAATATT